CAGAGACAACTTCCACACCATAGGATGATGCTAAGACTAAAAATAAAAAACCCCAACAGCAGCACCAAAAACGTAACACCTTCTGTTTTGACCTATAATTTCCAATTCAAATCATTTGTAGTAAGCAATCTCTGAGATGTGGTAATGGCATGATCACCACCACCCTAAAAGGGGTTTAATGCACTTGTTGTCACATGCGATTGCAGTACTTAACAGCCACAGTGACTACATGATGCCCACGATCATGCCATCGCATCTTACTCCAGATTTTTATGGTGACGGCTTCTCGACTTCTTCAACTGCGCATCCACATTTTTAACCGCCTCCAGGTTAGCTCAATTGGTTAGAGTGATGGACTGTTGCGCGGGAGGTCGAGGTCGATGGTTCGAGACCCGGCCGGACCAACACTCAAGGTCTTAAAATAACTGAGGAGAATGCGCTACCTTTCTATAATATCAAGAAATGGATAGACATTGTAGTCTTCTCGGATAAAGGCGAATAAACCGTACGTCCCGTCTCCTGCATCAATTAATTAGTCAATTGGGTTAGGCAGGGGACGTTAAAGAACACACACATGATATCACTGTGATGTGGTCCGGCCTGTTTACTGGGAATTGGGGGGAAGGGGGCATATTGAAATAAGTTTCCTTCGATTGTTTGTAAACTGCTGATGCAGTCCGCCCAAAATCCCCCGTAAAGTGTTGTGATGCGCATTTGATCATATCCATATGTTAATTTGAGCAATAAAAATATGTAACTATTATTATTATTATTATTATTATTATTATTATTATTATTATTATTATTAAAATTAGATTTTTAAAGTAGGCTATTAAACTACTGCGGAATCCAGTGAAATAAACAATGACTTAAATTCCGATATGAATTGGTGAGTTGTAAGCGCTCAGTCATCTTGACTCTTTGCAAATTGTTCACAGTACGAAAGATAAAAATGTTCACTTCCAAAAAATAAATATTCTTACCTACAGCCTGAAAAGAATGCTGGGCATTGGAAAGAAAACATGAGTAGACTACCAGGCACAACAGCTTCATGAAGCTGATTATAATTTCCAACCATCGGAGGTCCATTCATCAGAGATTCCCAACAGAAAATAAACAAGTGAACTACGAAATAGTCCTGGTGTCAAGGTACTTCATAAAGTACTGCACTTTGATGACCGTAAGGTCACAGCCGTGGTTGAAGATCGGTTGCTTTCGTTTTCGCTCTTGGGGTAGGCGCAATTCTGGTGGGTTTGAGCTTAATACTCTCTTGGAGAAAATTTTAGCTGCTATCTTTGATCACGAGCTTCTTTCACCTTGCATGTATTCGGTGTTCCGACCTTTGTTTCGATTTTGTCCGCTTTTTAAACTTGAAGAGTTCATATTACTTTTGGTTGTTATTTGATAACAACGAAACTTTCCGTATTTTTCCTTTAACAAAATTGCATTTTTCATCGACATTCCATCCAATTAATCCATCACTACTCTATGACTGTGTGTAGAAGTTGCAATTTATACCGAGTTATAGGTGGCATTTTTTACAATGAAATTCTTTATGAATACCACCCCTACGGAAAGTGACAAAAGGCCCTCCAGCTGAAAGAGGTTCGAAAGCACCATTTCTGGTGAAACATTTTGGTCTCACTGCGCGCGGGGTTATTTTATTTAAAAAAAGTATTACAATTGCTCTTTGAACTTTTCACTTTTCATACTTCTGTTATTTGTGCATTTTATGCGGAGCTTTTAGAACAAGGAATGTTCTTGTTGTTTGTGCGCTTCACGCGGAGCTTCTAGAACTAAAAATAGACTTCGAGCGATGCTTATAGGACATGTGCACTTGCCATTTGTGCCCTTCTAGCAGTGCGTTTTAGTAGAACGAGAAATAAACTTGTTTGTGCATTTCGACTGGTGCATTTTTTAGTAGAAGAAACAAAAATTTTGTTATATGTGCACTTCATCCTGCAGCTCTCACTTTTAGAACGACGAATACTCCTGTTGTTTGTGCTTTTTTCGTGGCGCCTTTAGTAGTACGAGATTCTTCTTGTTTACGTATGATGCACGATCCCTTGCAGTAGATAGCGCTATTTATGCGATAGCGAAAATCAGACCTGATAAAAATCTGGCCTGTACGGGATTCTTCTTGTTAGTCCACTTCGCGTGGTGCTTTTCGAACAAGGAAAACTCTTGTTGCTTGTGTACTTCGCGCGGTACTTAAACCAAGAGGAATACTTTTTGTTATTTGTGCACTTTGTGCGTGATCCATTCAAATCGGGTACAAGTCAATATACTAAGTCATGGCCAGAGACACTCCAAGTGAGAGTCCCGGAGATTTGAAAAACTTTACGACTCATTAATACATTGGACGATCCTCACGAGTCGTAAGACTCATGAATACATCGAACGATCAGTATGGATTGTACGGACGATGAGTATATCAGACGATAGGTACGGGTCGTACGACTCATGAGACAACCCATATGGGTCGTACGACTCGTGAATATATCCCAGGATCCGATACCAGCCGTGGTACTGGACATACATGGGGAAAATAAACTCGTGGCTCAATAGAGCGGCTGCAATAGTCATCACGCCTTTAAGGTTATTCATTGAGCATGTATTTATCGGAGGTTATTTAACAACATTTATTTATGAACAACTTAAAAGAAAATAGATAATTAGTCTGAGAACATTTAAATCTATAACGTTAATAAAAAAATTATAGTTTGCTTCTCTAATATAGTTAAAAAACACATACCAAAAACCCTAAGAATTCGCACAAAAATATGTGAAAGCTGTACTTTGCCCTAGTTCGCTATTAAGCGTATTTTTTTATACTTTCTTAATTAAAACAGAATGAATGGTTAACGTCAAATCCAAAATAGTATAGATTTATCACTCCTTCCACTGCTTCATGAAAATTCAAATGATTGCATGACAAGATCGTCAGCATTAACATAGAGTCGATCATCGTAATTGTCCAAATTTATCAGCCCCTAATTAAAAAGGAAAAAAAAAAATCAGTAATGTACTTGAATTATTGTATAGTTGCTCTTGTAAGCTTGCAATAGAGCCACTTGTTGAAATTACTTTTAATCCACGTAGAAAGCAAGTTGGTGGCGGAATTATATTCGAAAATTGTCGAAGTAAAGTGAAAAATTAAATGTTCCAGGCCTCCATACAAACGCCATTGTCAAGTGCATTTTACAGCGGTATGTTGAAAAGTTTACTTTGAATTGAAAGAGGTAAGGAACGTTACAGGTGCCGCTGTTGACGAACTCAACTGATCGTTCAAAGGAACTTAGTTTTACTACTTAAATACGACTTCGTATTTATTTCGGATATTCGCTAAGGGATTCGGAGAATTTCATGAAATGCACGGTCAATTCCCTTTCCGTGTCTTCTGATCAGGCTTTGGAACTTGTGCTGAATAAATGTGTGAAATTCTCATCTGTCATTTTTACCTCAGAATTCAGTAAAAATAGCTTTGAAACTCCGGTAACTTGAGATTAATGATATTCCACTGTGAATCTTTGTTTGTGCGAAATCAAAATTAGAACGATCAGGGGTTAAAAAGCCTCTTGGTCAAGTCTACGATTCTACCTTGCGCTGGTCTTCCATTTCTTTCAGTTCATCTCTCAAACTCTCAAATGATGGTCTCAAGTCAGGGTCATCTTTCCAACAGTTTGTCATTATGTCATACCTAAAACACAAAGACGTCAAGACTATCTCAGCGCTTTCTTAGTAGCACCAGTTACTTAATAACAACGTTTGGTCTTTTTCTTATTAATTACAAGAGACAAAATCGAGTTAACTGACTTATTCCAATATCTCCTGTAGGAAAACCTGCTCGACATGTAAAGTGAGTTTAATTTTAACTAAAAAAGAAAAGCCCTAAAACTCTTCATACAAAAAAAAAAAAAACTATTTCACAAGAAAAGGCGTCGTAAGAAAAAAAAAACAAAATCAAGAACAGCAGAATTGTTTCATACAACTTATCATCCACGTGTTGTGGTTTAGGCATTCTGTATCCCGAATTTAGCAACGTTAAAATCTGTCTTCCATCCATCTCTGGATATGGTGAGCCTCCTGAAATAAAAGAAGCTACCATTGATGCAACTATCTTTCTCTTTATTTACAAATTTTATAAATATATTTTTACTCTATAATTCCTGTACCATTGTTTATTTTTTCCCAGCTCCGCCTGCCGACTTCTTAAAGTGTTAACACAAATTTTAAGGCTAAAAGTTAATGGCCTGCCTATCAGCTTTGCAACTTACCAATCGTGACAATCTCATGGAGGAGAACTCCGTAGCTCCACCTGTAAAACAAATGGAATAAACTTGGGGAAATGATCATCCTTGTTTATGAAAAAAATCAACATCTTCGATAAAACCTCTGAAGAAGGTCACTTTACTCATCACACAAGCCGATCCTGGGCCAGTAATCATAACTTAAAGCCAGAAAGTGCATTACCACTCCCTCTGAGAGATGCCCCACAATAAGATATAATGACCACATTACAGAGTGAATCCAATAACTTTTCCCACACC